GTTTTTCTTCATTTTTTCTCTTTATCATGTTTATTTTCTTTGCGTAGTCTTTTGTTTTTAATCTAATATCTCTTTCGATTATAAGTAAAACAAATGCCATTCTCTGTTCTTCTGTTTTCCTTGATATGGCATCTTATAAGAACCAAATCTCATCCTCAGATTCGCTTTTGTTTCCTCAGAAGGGGATTCGATCCTCCAACCGCATCTCGATCCCCTTCCACTCATCCGGGTCTTCCATTTATCCTCCCTCCTCGCTGACTCTCTCTCTCCCTCCTCGCTGACTCTCTCTCCCTCCTCGCTGACTCTCTCTCTCTCTCTCCCTCCTCGCTGACTCTCTCCCTCCCTCCTCGCTGACTCTCTCTCTCCCTCCTCGCTGACTCTCTCTCCCTCCTCGCTGACTCTCCCTCCCTCCTCGTTGCCCTCTCTCTCCTCCTCGTTGCCTCTCTCTCCTCCCTCCTCGCTGACTCTCTCTCCCTCCCCTCTCTTGCCTCTCTCTCCTCCTCGTGCCTCTCTCTTCCCTCCTCGCTGACTCTCTCTCTCTCTCTCTCCTCTCGCTGCCTCTCTTTCCCTCGCTCGCTGACTCTCTCCCTCTCCCTCCTCCAGGACTCACGTGCGTCTGGGGAATCCTCACTCGGCGAGGACCAACGACCCGTCCCTGGACCTGGAACTGGCCATAGCGGACTTCGTGGACGCGGGATACGACCTCAAGAACCTGGGGAACGACCTCGGGCTCGTCACTCTGGAACGCGACGCGCCCTTGAACGGTGGGGTGGGGGTGGGGTGGGGTGGGTGGGGGGGGTTGTCGCTTCACGCACTCACGCAGAGATGGCTATATATATCTGTCTATCTGTTTGATGTATATGTGTGTGTGTGTACAGTGTATGTTTGTATGCATACATGTGTACACACACACATATACCATATATATTATATATATATATATATATATATACATATATATATATATATATATATATATATATATATACAGTATATGTATGTATATATGTATATATATATATATATATATATATATATATATATATATATATATATGTATTATATATATAGTATATATATATATATATATATTATTATATATGTATGTATGTATATATGTATATATGTATGTATGTATAATTATATATATATATATATATATATATATATAATATATATATATATATATATATATATTATATTATATATATATATATATATATATATATATATATATATATATATATATACATATATACATATATATATATATATATATAATATATATAATATTTATATATATATATATATATATATATATATATATATATATATATATATATATATATATATGTATGTGTTGTGTGTGTGTGGTGTGGTGGTGTGTGTGTGTGTGTGTGTGTGTGTGTGTGTGTGTGTGTGTGGTGTGTGTGTATAAGCATAAGCATAGGCCTACATACAGTGCACAGATGCATCGCATCTAAATCGCCTCTTTAGTGACCCTCTATTCTCCAAGTGTCTCTCCCTCCCTCTTCCCTCTCCCCCCCTCTCCCTCATTCACTTCCTGTCCCTCTCATAGACAAGATTTCAATTAAACCAATGAAGTATTTACCGAAACGTATTAAGCGCATCTCCCGCTGTGCATTTATTCATCATTACCTTCCTATTCACTTCAGTCGAAGGGAACTCTCCTTACCTTTTCCTCCTTCCCATACACATACACTCTTCAAAATTCCAAGGACAGATGCCGTCGTAACATCAACCATCAATTCTGAAGCCTCACTGATCTCTTCAACCGCTTTAGGACACAAATCATCTTCGAAATAACCCTCATAATGTTAACCAATCTGTCCGTAGCCTCGCTGATCATTTTTGGGCAGTCATAATTTTTGGGGGCACAATTCCTTTTCTGAATAGACGCTCTCGCGATATTAACCAGTCTATCTGCAGCTTTTCTGATTTTTTAAACCATCTTTGGGGCACAATCCCCCATTAACCAATCTATCTGCAGCTTTTCTGATCTTTTAAACCATTTTCTGGCACAAACCGCCCCATTAACCGACATATCTGCAATCTCACTGACTTCCAAAACCTCTCTCATTCCGGCAGACCTGATACGGCCCGTGTGTCTGCCGTACAGATTCATGTACGATGGGTTCCGGTACCAGGAGGTGGACGTCACGGGCTGGAGTCAGTCGGCCACATCGCTTCGAGGTGAGTGGGAGGGTGGGAGGAGGCTCACGAAAACAAGTGGATGTTTATGATTTATTTTATTCGTTTTACTGTTATTTGTATATGTTTTGTGTTTATTTCTTTTCTTTGTGAATTTGATTATTCTGGGGGGACGGAGGCTGATATACAGAGTATGAGATTTCAACATTCCTTAGGGATTACAAAATACATTATGTGTCACCCGCGTTTACCTAATCCACAGACACTGAAATACACTACACTAAGTACCACATTAATTAAGGATAATACACAGACACTTCACTCATTCTTTGTCACCATAGCTAGCGTAATACACGTAACTCAAACATACCAAAACTATTCCCATCAGTCACCATAACCACCAAACACATGCCCCAAAAACACTCCCATCCAGAGCACCATAACTAGCCCAAACATACCCCAAAACACTTCCCATCCAGAGTCACCATAACTCGCCAAACACCCAAAAACACTTCCTAACCAGAGTCACCATCTCGCCCAGAACATACCCCAAACACTTCCCATCCAGAGTCACCATAACCACCCAACATACCCAAAACACTTAGCCCAATCCAGATCACCATAACTACCCAAACATATCCCAAAACCACTTCCCATCCAGACTCACATAACCACCCAAACACACCCAAAACACTTTCCCATCCAGAGTCACCATAACCCCCAAAACACCCAAAACACTCCCATCCAGTCACCATAACACCCAAACATACCCAAAACACTTCCCATCCAGAGTCACCATAACCCACCCAAACATACCCAAAACACTTCCATCCAGAGTCACCATAACTCACCCAAACATACCAAACACTTCCCATCCAGAGTCACCATAACCCACCCAAACATACCCCCAAAACACTTCCCATCCAGAGTCACCATAACTGCCCAAACATACCCAAACACTTCCCATCCAGAGTCACCATAACTCCAAAACAACCAAAACACCATCCAAGTCACCATAACCCAAAACAAACCCCCATCCCATCCAGAGTCACCATAACTCGCCAAACACACACCCTTAACACCCAGAGTCGCCACGCCTGAAACGCTCTAGTTCCAGGCGCCGCCGAGCCAGCGCAGCTCGTGCTCTCCCGCGCGGCCGTGGTTGGCCTCGGCGTCTGCGAGAACACGTTCCAGAAGGAGGTGGAGAGCCTGGCGCTCAACAACCAGCAGATGTGCGCGGTGGTGGCGGAGGATCAGCCGTGTCTGGTAGGTGGAAGGTGGACGGGGAGAAGGGGGGTGAGGAGGGAGGTGAGGTAGAGGGGTGGAGGTAAGGGAGAAGGGAGAGAGGGATGGAGAAGAGGAGGGTGAGGGAGGTAGAGGGAGGAGGTAAGGGAGGGGAGGCGAGGTAGAAGGGGGAGAAGGAGGGTTAGGGAGGGAGAGGAGGTAGAGGGAGGGAGTTAAGGGGGGCGAGAGAGGGAGGTAAGGGAGGGGAGGCGGATTGAGGTGAGGTTGAGGGATGGAGGTAAGAGAGAATGGGGAGAGGGAGGGAGAGGTTGATGGATAAAGGTAAGGGAGAAGGAGAAGGGAGGTGAGGGAGGAAGAGTAGGTAGAGGGATGGAGGTAAGGGGATGAGGGAGAAGAGGGTGAGTGATGGAGAAGAGGGAGGTGAAGGAGAGAGGAACTAGAGCTAAAGATTGTATACCGAATTATTTCATACAAAACTCTTACAAAACATTATATAAATAAATAAATGATATGATAATATAAATTATATGATAGTAAAGAGAAGAGGAAATAACATGTGCCTCCGTATCCCCAGAACGACAACGGCGCCCCCGTGACCTTCCTGGATGACGTCACGACCAACAGGCACTTCCTGGTGGGGTTGACGTCGTTCGGGTACGGCTGCGAGAAGCCCTTCCTTCCGGGCGTGTACGTGCGGGTGGGCCTTCCTCGACTGGATTGAGAAGAATATATAAATGGATAAAGAAGGGAAGGAGGGAAATCGAAAAAGAGAGAGAGGGGAGAGAGAGAGAGGAAAATTGAAGAAAGGGAAGAGGAGGATTGCACAGTGGAGGAGACGGGAAGGAAGGAGCATCCAAGAAGAGAAAGGGAAGAGGAACGTGTGGTAGAAATATATATATGAACAAAAGCAAAAACAGAAGCTGACGAGAAAAGGAAAGGAAAATGTACGTCTGACGAGGATCCCGCTTCCTCTCGAAACGTCACGCATTACTCCACTGTTATCTTGTTTCTTATCATAAATGGGTATATTTATAAGCGTTAAACAACTATTTGATACTAACGGAATGGGGAAATAAACCCATAAGAGAGAGAGAGAAACAGCTAACATATTTATCGATGAATTGTTTTCTTGTTGACAAATGTAGAAAAGGTATGAATGAGAATGAATATCTTCGCAAAACAAGGGACGTATTTGACCGGTTTCGGATAGATCTTCGTCGGAAACCAAGATATATTCGAAATCTATCCCTTGTGAATATCTCTTGTATTGTGAGGGTATTCATTTCTCATTCATACTTTTCTATATTGATTATTAATCAATCTTTTATTGTTTGTTTGCGTTACGGTTGTATCTTCACGAAAATTAAACGGACACAAGAATGGATTTATTTCTATCCTTACCCGATATAATGTGAATGATATGAAGTTTTGGGATAAACAAAAACAATTTTTTTAAACAGTTCCAAGTAAGCATCTCCTGCTATTTCTCTTTCCCCTATTATGGCGCGTCGTAACCTCGGACACCTTCTTTTTCGAAGCCTTCTAAAACGTAACATAACTACATAACTCTCATAATCCTTGTC